GGGCGCAGCCCGCGGCGGGGGAGGCGCGGCGGGAGCGGGGCCGCCTGCGCTTCCCTTTGCGTGGCTCGGGACCCTGGCAGCATCTCCCTCTCGCACCTTCCCCTTTTCTTCCACTTTCCTCCCCCTCTTCTCCACTTTTGCTGCCACTTTGTGGCACGCTCTCTTGCACTCGCAACTGTATAACAGCGGTGATTTTTTTGATTTTTTTTTTTAACTCTCTGCCCGTATCGCCAGTATCCCAAGCAGCAGAGGCCCCATCCCCGTGCTTCCACGTGGATACCCACTCAGTCCAAACCCAAAGCCATCCCAGACCAGGGACACAAGAGAGGGGGGCGCAGGGCGGGAGGGATTATGCGGACGCTGAGTCCAGCCCCACGTAACTGCAGCCCCCGTGTCCATACRTAGGTGTTCATTGACATTGAGACTTCCATACACACAGGAGGAAGGGACGAGAAGAGGGGAGGTCCGTCCTGTGTCTTTAGTAGATTTTTCCTCTGATGTTTTCACACCAGCACCTGATCCTCCATGTGTTCTGGAAAGTAATGTTTAGTGCTTTTTTAGCTCTTTGTACCTAAAATCCTTGTGTAAAAAGCAGGTGGGCTACAAGAGCTGCACGGGGTGATGTTAGTTGTGTGCACCTCCTAATAACAGGGAGACTGAGGCAGAGCGCTGAAATGAATCCCATAACTACTGAGAAATTGGTGGAACCAGCATTGAACTCGGAGCCCGCTCCTAAGGTTTGTTGGTGACCGGATCAAGCTCCAAGAGGATGGAGAAGAGGGAGATGTGCGGCCGCATCCAAGTTCGGAAGCACCAGGAGTTGCCACATTCCCTGGGTATTCAATGGGGGTGCCGAAATCCCCCCGGTGGAGGCCTTCCCACTTCTCCCCGCAGAAAGAGTAGTTGCAGTTTTGGATGTTTAGTTGCCTGAGTAGTTGTGTTTCGGATGCTCAGCTAATTCCAAGCTCCCTGACATCCTTCGTACTTCCTGAGGATCAGCACCAACCTGCTCCCGAGTAGGGAGGCATTTGCCTAAATTTCTCTCACCTTGGGTGCGGCCGCTGATCTGAATCCAGGCTGCTCCTGAAAAAGGTGGTTTTTCCTCCTCTGGCCCCAGTGCTGCCTCTTCTCTGTGACACTGATATCAGGACTTGTATCCACATGCATATCAGCAAGGTGAATCTGCTTTTAAACATGCGCGTGTATCTTCCTTCTTTTCCGTGTTTGTGTTTCCAGAGTTAGTTTTAGGCTGGATCAGCTCCACCAGAAGGGATGTAGCTGGAGCAAGGGAGGCTGCAAGAAGGGAGTACCTGGGCTGGGCCACCACAGGGCAATGGGGGTGGCTTCATTTGGCTTCATCACGGATAGTGAGGTTCAAAAGCCCCAAAGGCTGGACYGGGGGAGCCCTGAGCAAGTGCAGCAGGGGGATCAGCTGCCTGAATTACTGGTACCTGCATGTTGCAGCTGTAGGGCTCATTGCAGAAACCGCAGAAGGAAAGAAAACCTTGAAACTCTCTGATTGTACTCTTTTTTTCTTCCCCAAAAAGGGTCTTGTTCTATTTATTTCATTTTTGTTTGGTTAAGTGGTCTGGTTTTGGCCAAGATTAAGATACTTACTGATTTAATAAAGGATTTCTTTCACAGGAGAATGCTGTACCTGTATGCTGTGCTTTCAGTGGAATAGYTGAGGGAGTTTAATCTGTTTTAGCAGTGTTTTCTGTGGTGCTGTTTTTCCATCCTTAACATTTTTGAGGTTGTAACAGGTACAGGATTAAATAAATGTGTCATGGTTGGTAAGAGGGGTACCTTAGCCTGCATGTATTCTTCAAACACCCTGTTCCAAAAACACRTCTATGTGTGTGAGATGAGAAAGGGGAATCTTTTTTTGGGTGCCAGTTTTGTGGCTATGGATTTCAGCCTACTTTGGTACGCACCAAAGAGCAGCATTTACTCTGCTGCATACAGTAAGGGATGCTGCTGCTCACACTACTCGGATACCCAGATCTGAGCTTGAATTTCAAATATCCTCTAACTAACTGGATTGTCTTCTTTTTTTTTTCTTTTTTTCTTCTTTTTTTTTTTTTAATAAATATATTTAAGGAACTCCTTTCCTGCATTCTGCATAATGCAGGTCCTGCTTCCCGGAAGGTCAGCCCCACACCCGTTACTGAAGTATCGACACCCACATGTCACCATCCTCTTTTTCCTGCTCCTTCCCGGATCAGTTAAGAAACCAGTTTGTCCTCCTGCTCCTCTCTGCTCCTCTGATCTCTCTTTCTCTTCTTGAGCARGAAAACCATATGCTTGTGATGAAGTAATCCCTGTTTGTTGGCACTTGCTGCTTCAGATAATTTCTATAAAAACAAACTCCCATTGGAAATGCTTTTCTTGAGTTTCTGTGAGAGCCACATTACCCATTGAGCAATTTTTTGTTCTCTTTGAGCTTTGCGTGTATGCACTTATCTGATTTTTGTACCAACTACCACCATTGTTTTTGTCTGTGTTGAAATCGTGTTTGAAAGTGGGCGTTTTGGAAATAAAGGAGTAATTTTTAAACATGAAGTGCACAAAATGTGCAGGCATGTGCACTTGCTGAACTTGTATGTGCTGTTACCATCATCATTTACTTGTATTAGACAAGGGGCAGAGTTTGGTCATTTGCATTCAGATTTATCACGTGGGCAGTAAAAAGTCCAGCTTTTGTGTTTACAGTCTCATGATTGCTTTGAAAAATCAGACATGAAACATTTTTTCCTCCTTTTTGTTGAATCAGTTCCAAACTTCTTGTCTTCCTGCTTTGATGTCCTATTCGTCACTTTTAACATTTTTTTTTTAATTCTGCTTTGTTTTTTCTTTCGTCTTAAACAAATTCCCCCTGCAAATTCATAGCCCACTTTTTTCTTCTTCCAAAAATCCATACTAAAAGAGCACGTGCTTGGGGGATTTTCACTGTTCTTCTGGGCTCTGCACACGCACTTCTGGGCTCTGCACTTATATAACTAAATAATGGCAGTATTATTTGTATAAGAATGCATAATTACCTTGCATATTTTATTACCTCATATTGGCTTATCCTCATCTAAAGTTCCTATTCATCTCTTCAGCATTATTACTGAGAACAGATTCAGCTACATGAAAGTAATCGCATTATGGATAAGCTATTACATTAATTCTAATCCAAGAATTTGAACAGATCTGGGCTGGACTGTGCTGGCTATGTTATAAAACTGAAATACTGATTCTCATTGCTACTGGTCAGAGGAGAGACAGATAGGAAGCTGGTTTCCAGGTATAAAATGATATTATATTTTCTGGAGATGGTAGTAATAACTAAACATAATATATCATCTTTGGCTTTATGAATTGGGACTGTAGCGCAGAAACTAATGTTCAAGGAGTACACGAGGTGAGCCAAGCCAAGGTCTTAACTTACAAAGCTAGATCTCCATAGGCATTTTTTAATTATTATTATTTACTCCAGGCAGCATTAGGACCATATTCATATCATTTAAGCATATATGGTATACTGGGCAAAATTCGGTATTATACATGCCCTACATACAGTATGAATATATGCATATGTTATCTATGTATGTTTTTACATAATTGTATGATGTTATGAGTGTGTACAGCATGTGTACAGCAACATACTTCAGTAATATATGCATATTTTAATTGTATATAGATAATATGTTTCTGTAGCATAGAAATACAGATATGAATAATATGTAACACAACTTTTAGGTCCATCTATCACCAAAGCAGCCTGAACAAAACTCAGTTTTAATTTTGCCAAATTATTTTTTTCTGCATACATTTGATTTTTTTTAAGGCACTGGCATAAACCCAGCATTTGTCTTCACAGGTAGTGTTGTAATCTGAACATCTGAAATTTTGGGCACATATTTGTGACAAAGTATGCCAAGAACGCAGCCTGAGGTCATATTGTTAGGAGAAGACTTAAGGCATGTTGTGGCCCTGAAAGTCTGCTTAGCTATAATGTTTTCTTAAAATAAACAGCTGTCTTTCCTTTCACACACCATCATCTCCAATCCACTATCCGGCTTCTTTCATTAACTTATATTTRTATCTTCTGGAATAATTTTTTAGTCCTCTGCTCTTTATATTCACTGAAGATAAAGGTAATATACATACATTTTTTGCATTGTTATGTATGAAATGCACATAAAACATATCCATTGTTTTAAAAATGAACAATTTTAACCAATTCTGACCTGGAAAATTAAACAGCACAAATTTTGGATAGTTTTGCTTTCTCTCTTCAGGCAGGTGCAGAGTAATACCTCAAAAGAACCATTATTTTGTGCTTTTATTCCAATGTGTACATAAATGCTTGCATAACCCGCGCACAGCTGCTGTACAAACTGCTCATGCCACAA